TTTATTTATTTATTTATTTTTATTTTATTTTATTTTTTTGTATTCTTTTCAAAAGAATCACGATTATTTCTATACCCAATCTTCATTTAAAATTAAAAAATTACTAAATTTATTTAAAGAATGTACTATATCAAGTGTCGAATATGGAAGGAATAAGAGTTTAAAATATTATATGAAAATTTGATGCTAACCTATATTTGAATAGAGTTTTTCTAGTATATTTATTTTGAGTTAGTTTTTCTCATCTATTTTTTTGTCGGAGTTAGATCTATCTTTTATATCCCTCTCAAATTCCGAACATCTTCAACTGTTAATGGTCTAAATTTTTTTTTCCCCCTTCTCTTATCGGTGGAAAATATGAAAAAGAAAGATTAAAATTGTGAATACTGCAAATTTCAATTGGGGGCAAAGTATAGAAAACCCCCTTCGACTTGTAATCTTTTTTAGTAAACCCCCCTTATCTATTTTTTTACCAAAGAATCCCCCTCGACTTTTAGTCTTTTCCCAATAAATCTTCCTTGTCTAATTTTTTACCAAAGAACCCCCTCAACTATCTGAAGGGGGTAAAAGAGTTAATATTTTGACCAAAATGCCCTTTTATTTAAATCTTAATTCTTCTGATTTTCAAAAATTCATATCTCACAAACCGTACATTTAAAAATTGTAAATGATATATGCACGGAAAGCTTATAAAATAAGGATTCCAGAACTATAAGATTTGTAAAACAAACTTTCATAACCAGAGAGAAATAGGCAATCTAAAAATCTACTCTAACAATTTTATTTTATTTTTAAAAAATAAAATACTTGAGATATTTGCAAGAAATTTTTTAGAATTATTCACTTACATATGGAGCCAAATATATAAAAAAAATTTAGCCCCAACAGAGATCGATTTCATGAGATATCGTATTTTGCGTCAAAGTATTTTCATTCTTTTATAGACTCGCCATGTTAAAAAAAAAAATTAAAAATGAATATTCGGTCTCTATTGGGGCTAATTTTTTTTATATGTCATGTTCCATAAGAAAATGAATAATTCTGAAAATTTTCTTGCAAATAACCCGAGTATTTTATAAAATAAATAAAATAAAATAAGATTATTGTAGTAGATTTTCAAATTGTCTATTTCTTTTTAGTTATGAAGTTTTGTTAAACAAATCTTATATTTCTGAAATCCTTGTTTTATAAGCTTTGTGTGCATATATTATTTGTAATATTTGGATGTACGTTTGTGAAATATGAAAATTTGAAATTTGAGATAGTTAAGATTTAAATAAAAGGACATCTTGGTCTAAATATCAACTTTTTTACCCCCCTTAAATAGTTGAGGGGAGTTCTTTGGTAAAAAATTAGACAAGGAGAATTATTGGAAAGAGTTACAAGTCGAGGGGGGTTTCTTGGGACGAGGGTGGTTTTCTGTACTTTGCCCTTTCAATTGGTGTAGTTTTATGTCATTTATGAGTTTTTGTTGGTTTGTACATTGTTTTACAATAAAAATTGAGTATTTGATTAATGTAGATAGACTAGGGTGTTAGATGGAGGTTGGGTATAGAGATTTGTGGGGGAGAAAAAGAGGGGGAAAGGGAGAGAAGAGACTCCGAATAAAAGAGAGGTTCTAAAATTATTAGGGAAAGAAAAAATTGGGTTTGAGTTTAACCCATAAGAATTTGGATAATTACAATTATAAAAAAGTTAAAAAATTTAAACATGTGCCTAAATTGTATTAGGTTACATTAACTCAGAGGATAAAGTTCATCTCCCAAAAAAAAAAGACCCAACTATTATCTATTATATTTTTCGTTAAATGAGTTGCTTCGCATGGTAGTGACTGTGTGATTAAAAATAGGAAAATACTTTGTTTTTCACCGGTAAGAACTTACACCAACCTCACCTCATGTATGACACTTATGGTGAATAAAAAATAAAAGAAAACAATGTCATTCAAAGATGAAATGAGCTTACCTGATTTTCATTTCTTTTTCTTTTTAATTAATAATTAAAAGTGATGTTATAATAAAATCGTATCTCATATGGGAAGAGGATGGTGTAGTCTTCTAACAAGCTTTACACTTTCTAACTGTACCATCAATTTCAAAACGCTAGCTTTGAATATGAAGCACCGTCAATGGTGAATATTGTCAATGATAGTTGATTGTATATCTAATGGCATGATAGTGGTGTCAGAAGATATTTTTTTTGGTGTCAGAAGATATTAAAAATAGACTTGGAATTGCTATGACTCACTTCACCCCAAATAGAGTAATTTTGGCTGCTCACCACCTTAGACGACAAACTCTTAGATCTAATTGCAACATGGTTTTTCTTCAGCATATGCCAATGAATTATTGTACTTATTGATTGTAATTTTAATGAATTTTTCTCAACAGGAAAAAAGTTATCACTTTCAATGTAATCCTAAAAGCAAAAAAATAAAAAATGATTCATATGATATTTTTAATTGGAAAAACTACATATAAGTAAGATAGGATCTTTAAATAATAAATGGGTCAATTTTAAAAGTTAATTTTTCACATTAATTGAATTAAATAAAATAATTATAAATGCATCAAGAATTATTTTTAAAGTCTAAAATGTCCTCACACTCTTATTACAAAATACAAAAATATCATTCTTAAAATTATCTAATTTCAAATATTAAAATAAATAATTAAGAATTAGTTTAATTAGCAAATAAAAATTCTCCATCTCTTTTCTTCGTTGTCCGTGGCATTGGATTGCCTTTTGGGATTGATGTCATTTGATCTAAAAGGTAAGAATTGAAAAGGGAAGCTCCACAAGCTTACTATGGTAGCGGTGATATTTCACATGAAAGATTTTTCAATTGTTAGCTAAGTGAAGCTATTATTATTGTTAATATATTAGAAGATGTAAAAACTGTAATGAGATTTATCAAGGGTCTCATATCCGGTTGGATGGTAGGGTAATGAAGTTTTTTTTTTTTTTTTTTTTTTTTTTTTTTTTTTTTTTTTTTTTGGTAGGGTAATATGAAGTGCCTTTCTTTTTTGTTGTCCAAAGGTCTCTGATTGTTGTTAGTTTCCTTCTTTAATCAATTATAAAAAATCACAACAAATTTTGAGATGCTAAATTGATAACTCTCTACAATAACGCTAATTTCATAAGGTATAACAAACTTCTAAAGCCTACAAAGTAATAGATCTGAAACTTGTGAACAAAAATGATTACTTATTTACATTTATGTGTGTGTGTGTGGAGAGAGAGAGAGAGAGGGAGGGAGGGGGGGGGGACTACGGATGGCAACGGGGCGGGTTTGGAGCGGGTTTCCCTAAATCCCGCCTTGCCCCTTTTAATTTTTGTCAATTCCATGCCCTCCTAGACCCGCAACGGGTTGGATTTTTATGTCTAGCCCTACCCCGTTGGGAAATACTGTGCCCCCGTGCTCGCCCAGCTAACAAATTTTTTTCTCCCACTTTTTGGAACTTAAGCTCCTGCTATTTAAATATGGAAAGCTTAGGAATGACACAAAATAAATGAAATTATATATCCCAACAAAAATAAAAAAATAACATGCGCATAACATAATTCAGAGAACATAATAAACAAAAATAAAAGTTTAATACAACCAAATCACAAGATGTTCTAAGCTCCAACTTCCACCATAACTAAAACAAAAGCAAATTTAATACCAAGTTTACATCCCAAATTAGGATTGTAAGAGATGGGTAATTCGGTAAGCCACTAAAATAAGTTATTAATATATATATATATAGTTATATACTTAGCGGGGCTGGGCGGGACTCTTAAGATATGTATACTGAACCCTTACCCGCTCCGTGACCCACAACGGGTACAAAATTTGTATCTATGCCTGCCCCAACGATACAAAAAGTGTTCTCATATCCGTTATTAACAGGGCAGGACAAGGCGGGGCCCCAGCGGGGCGGAAAAAATTGACATCCATAGGGGGGGACCTAAAAAACCTACGAGGTGGGTAGTGCCCTGGACGTTGGTGGCTGATTGACTATGAATATAAGTGATAGAGAATTATTATTCGCTAATAAAACTAATTTATAATTATCTATTTTATTATATTAAAATTATATAATTTTAAGGAGAATATTTTGGTATTTTGAAATAAGAGTGAGGATATTTTGGACCTGAGCAATAAATATTGATATATTTGTAATTATTTTGCTTAATCCAATCAAAATAGAAAATGAACTTTAAAAATTGATCGATTTGTATTTATGTGCAGTTTTCCTTTCTTTCTTTCCCTACATCTGTGGCACAAAAAAAATAATAATAATAATAAAATTTGGTTGAAAAATTATTCCCTAAGATTAGGAAAACAAAATATAAAACAATTTTAAAAATAATTACTTCTTGTTTGGTGAACTTGAGCCTTTTGGAGCAAACTTGACTTTTTTCACACAATTTTATGCAGAGTGATTGATGTGAGCTTGAGAACCGACTTTCTTGCTTAGATATGATAATTTTCCAATTGGCTTGGTGTGGCTTTGAAGCGAGACCAAAAAAACAAAGAAAAAAAAAAAGAAAAAGAATTTTTAACGATAATATTTATATTTTAATTCAATTGCTGAAATATACTAGTACAAATTATACACACCTAAAAAGTAATTTTTAGTGGCACTAAATAATGGCCCCTTTATTATCTGAAGCTAAATTGAAATGTTGAGGAGGCAACTTATGAACCCTCTCTTTCTGCACATCAAATTTATGGTACAATGTCATCTGCTGGTATTTCCATCAATTTCCAACAAATTACAAACTTACTCTAATCTTTTCACAAAGCACTGTTACTTCATATAATGAAAATAGAACAAATTAAATTTCACAAATAAAAACACTACTACCATGAAGCCCGAGTCACAAGACATGCATCATACTTCCACATCGATCTTCTGGTGAAATGAAGGTACCGAAAAGCCCTTATCCAAAAAAATTATACACACACACACACACACAAAAAATAAAAGAAGATGCTGAAAAGCAAGTAATGAATTTAGAAACTTTGGTTAGAATGCATTGAAGATCCATACACATTCAAGAGGGGAACTATTCTTCTCAAACTTTAAACTTTTAGGGACTTCACAAGCGACTCACAGACGATGATCCAGCCAACTTAATAAATTTTACCACAATATAGACACTACTCAAACAATGCTAAACAAGTTGAATAACCAGAAGCTAAATGGCTTAGGTCTACCCAGTTCAAGTCGGTGATTCTCTCATAACTCGGTACAAGATCTGAACTCATTGTCATGAAAAACCCGAATGGTGCTACATCATTTCACACACCAAATAGGAATGTGTTTTGTACAAACTCAAGAAGATGAAAAAAGATTTGTTTTCTGAAAATACAATGTCAGTCACACCAGTCAAAGAAAATAGTTTCCAGAACTGACTCAATTTCAAACTTTAGCAAGACCCTGATGATTATCACATGATGGTGCATCGACTCCTTTCCTCTGCTGGCTGTGCTGCTGCCTGCTGGTGCCTGTTTGACTCGGACGGGTTGTATGTAAACTCGGCAGTATCAAGCCCATACTGGTTTATATCCAGACAAGAGACAAGAAAATTCAAAAGTAAGAATTAGAAGTAGATCCACCAGAAGAATGAAACAGAAGAATAAAAAGAACAGTAGTTACACAAAGGATCACTAGAATTGTAAGAAATGAATTGGCATTCACTCGAGTATAATAACTAATATGATCCACTATGGTTCTTACTCTGGTAGTAAATAACAATATGACAACTTCATTCCGCACAAACAAGCAGGGAATTGCCAGATGAATAAAGTCCTATTATAAAACTGTTTAATCTCGCATTTAATAAGAAATTTTCCAAAGAGGATAATAGAGAATAGAACTGTTTAATTTCTTTATTGTAAGATATAGCTAGAAAAAAGTTGCAAATTTGAATCCTGCACGTGAACTTTAATAAATAAATTTTCAGTAAGGGATTAAGCCATGAATAGTAAGAATGGAAAAACAAAGCATAAGAAGCCATTTAAATTCTTCAGAATAAATTAAAAAAAATTTGCATATAAATAAGGAATTATACACATTCAATTAATTCACGATAGTTCAGGAACTAATGAAACGCACATAACAAAATCAGGTGGAAACCACTTATTGGAAAAGTTGGTATTTAGAACTCATAAAATATGGATGATTGTATCATGCAGATGCAGCTGATAAAATATTTGCAAATATAAAGAGGAAGACTTTCCACCTTTTCCCTCATACGTGCGCTCCAAGCGTCATTTCGGAGTGCTTTTCTGCTTGGACCCTGATCAAGAGTACCAGCAACAGGGACCCCGGTGGTTGGAACTGGTGCCCTGTTGTTGATCAATGGCTGATGGATTTGTTGCCTTGGGCCACCTATATACTCATCATCACTGTCATAGTCTACTGGTCTGTTTGCAGCCCTCACCACAAGCGCTAATAAGAATACCAAAGCCTGCAATTCCATGGACAGTCAGTAAAATTGGACACATTAGGGCATTAGAAGAAAGTGACAATTGTGTTTCCAATAGCTTCTAGAATTGTCTATTTTTCATGGCATTTAATCTCATCACTATTTCTGATACACAAGGCCATCTTCAGATTTCTGCAAATGAAGATTTTATTTTCATGTTTCATGGTCGCAAGGTTTCATTTGGTCTGCCGAATTTCAAATGGTGTACCGCACGTTGTCACGCCCCGAATCCTAAAGATCCGATTCACGAGGGAAACGTGGACCCGACTAGGTCCTCAACCTCTAAACGATTCACCAACCCTCAACGATGATCAATCAATGGCCATGCATAACAATGAGATGAGAAAGGAACGATAATATTGATTGAAAACGTTAATTCAATTCACAAGTTTATGAAATGAATCTACATAAGAGCACTTGAGAAAGATGAGGTTTTCGGCCCCAAAATACCATTAACAAGTCATTTTCAAATATAGAGACGTCACAGAAAAGTTTCACAAACATTTGAGAAAGATCGGATTAAAACGAAGAAGTTCCATCACATAAAAATCATGTTTTCTGCTATGAAAGATTGATTTGATTTGAAAGAGAGGTAAAATGTTGCTACTATGGTTGCCAAACAAACTCCATTTAAACCTTAAAAACATGCTTAAAATGACCATAAAGAAGTCCCATGAAGGTCCCCCAAGTAGCCCCCACATACCCCATGGAAAACTAGGTCCAAATTCTCATTTAATGAATTGTGCAGTGTAATACCTCAATATTTTTAAAGGATTAATTAATTAAAATTAATTATTTTTATTTTATTATTATTTTTTTTTTATGATTTATTTTATTTATGATTCGTTTTATTTAATTAAGTGCATAGATAAATTGTGGTTTGTTTTATTTAATTAAGGGTGTAGATATATTGTCTTGTTTTAATTGAATTATGTTTTATAATTTTATTTGTTAAAATTGTAGTGTTTGATTTGCGAAATGCTAATAAGTGAATTGTTTATTGGGTTTGGGTGTAGTTACGCTTGTGTGTATTATTTATTTAGTTAGTTTATGTATTTAAAATATTTGGATTGGGTTTAAGGGAGGTTGGGCCAAAGGATGTGGTATTGGGCTTGAAGGAAGCCTTGTTGGGTTAATTATTAAAGGCCCATGGTTGTGAGGATATTTAATAATTATCTTTGCATAATTATACCTATATAATTACATGTGTATAAAAATATATATTGATATATATAGGTATATTTAATCATGTGGAGGGGTATATATGTCAATATAAATATATATTGATATATATAGGTATATATAATTTATTTAACTAATGGTTATATATGGAAGGTAATATATATATTTATATTAAAATATATGTATATATATATATTAGTTAAAAGATAAATATTATTTATTTTTATGGTAATCATAATGGGAAAATGATTTAGATTTTTTTTTATGTGTTTAAATAGACACATAAGACTTTAGGGTTAGGAGTTTTTCTACGTTAGAAAAATAAGAGAGTTAGAGAGAGAAGAAGAAGGGCTAACGAAGAAGAAACAGGATCAAAGAAAGAGGAGACCGGATTTGGAAAAGAAAGGCGAGTTCTTCTCTATTTCTCCTCTTAGAATTCATAAACCTATCACCTTAATTATATAAATTATATTTTATTTTTTTTATTTAGTTAATTAAAATATTCGGTTAATCGGATTATTATGATTACATTTATTCTTTGCAAATATATAGATTTAATCATGGGTATTTATATATGTGTTATTAGGGTATTCAAAATTTAATTCGTGAAATTTTTAAAGAGTGATTTAATCATGTTAGCATGATTAATCATATAACATGGAGGTTAAATTATTAAATATGTTAAATATAGTATTTGGATTTCTGAAATTTTCTGGGTTTTTTTTTTTATATGATTCAGATTTTTAGAATTTCTTTTATATAGTTTTTGGTAATTATATAAGTCTGTTATATAATGTTTGGGTGTCTTTGATAAAAAAATAAATAAATAAAAGAAATACTGGAGCTTACAATTGAATCGGCGCACCAAGGGGATTGGATTCGGATTCTGTGCGGCGCAGCACAATGCAATTCAGTGCACTCACATCAGGACCATAGAATGGTTCTGATGGATCAGCGAATAATCCCATGTAGACGTGAACATAGTAAAAAAAATGCACTCGCTAATCTGATCCGTGAGTGCGGTTGATGGATGGTGGGAAAATCAGGTGTGGTGCGGCGCATGGAAATCAGGTGTGCATGGGCAGCTGGACTGTTAATGTGGTCTGGTCAACGGATGAGTAATCTGGTGCGGCGCAGCGCACCAGATCACGGTGCGCCAACGAATGAGGAGAAACCAGCACAGCACAGAGACACATCAGGCGCGTGCATGCGCGTGAGAGCGCTTGGACGCGCCTGCCAGCCAATGGAAGCGCGTGAGGATGGTTTGGGCGCTTGTGGCGGCGCGTGGGGGCGCGCGCCTGGGTGTTTGAGGTCCCTGGAGGTTCCTGTGTGGTCTCGTGAATTCCTAAAATTTGTTTTTAAGCTGTTAAGGTTGAAAACAATCACTTGAGGACGTGTTCGTGGTATTTTGAGAGGCATAGAGTATAACTACGATATTTAATGGGAGTATGTATATTAAATTAATAACTGGGGATGGAAGGATGTATGTATATATGTATTGACATATATATATATATATATATATATATATATATATATATATATATATATATATATATATAATTTTAATAATCATAGATTTTTGTAGAAGGGGTTTATACATATGTTTCTAATAAATAATATATGTATAGATGTATATACTGTTTAGGATAATTTGTTTGGTATACCTTAATAGGTTGGTTGTTACATTAAATGGTATGCTTATAATATACCTGGAAGGCTTAGGTATGATTTGGCTTATGGTTAAATTAGTTTTAAATTTGGTAGATGGTTGAGTTGTAGGCATGGATGAATTGCCAAAGGCTTAAATAGATAGCCTTATTATTTATGAATGGGAAGCATGGATGAATTGCTATTTAAAAGTATAAATAAATATACTTAAGGAAGCATGGTTGAATTGCTAATACATAAATAGATATACTTACCATGGCATGGTTGAATTGCCATTGCAAAATTAAATTATTACGTGTTAGATGATTAAAATTTCATCTGTGAATATTGTATGTATATGTTGGATTAGGACTAGAATAATCTAATACTTACCAGTTAGTGCGTTATTTTATATATATAAATAGAATAATGTTGGGTGACATGGATGATTTGTCAAGGCCTGGATATTAGTGGTGTGATTTAAATAACTAAAAATCACTATTGGGTTTTGGATTTAATTCATTCTTCGGTTAATTGTAATTTGTGGCTTAGATGATTAAATTACCGTATTTGATAAAATTAAGGAATTGATGAGTTTCTTTTAAAAGAAATATATATTATCGGATTAGTTTAGGTATGATTAGTAATTAACCATTGGTTAATGGTTTTGGCAATTTAAGTGAACCTATTAATAGACAGGATTATTGTACTACATATATAAGTATTTATATATATATTTGTAGCATCGTGTAATAAAGTTAAAACTTTAGTAGGGTTGATTTTTGGTATAGATGATTTGTTTATTGGTTTTCAGAGGCTTAGTAGAGAGAGCTTGCTCGTAGGGTTTAACCCACGATTTTTTTTTTCAGGTTATTAGAAGGTCAAGTCTCAAGGTTAAGGATCCGCAACTGGAGGACTTATCCATTCCCTCTTTATTTTGAAGTAGGATATTATTATTGTTTCAGTTGATACTAGTATTTATTTTCTGGAATTCTAAATAGTAACTTTTGGTTAAGGGGTCCTTGGGTTTCGGGATTCCCGAGTTGTAACCATTTGGGAGTTATTAATGGATTTACTATTAATTAGTTTTTCTTCAGCGTTTTATTTTATTCTTTTATTTCATTTTGTACTCTGTGCTTGTTAAATACTTTAATTGTTTTGATATCCCCTGATTTTGTGCGCGGACCTGATCAACCCGTGTTCCGAAATTAGGGGGTATCACATGCAGAAAGTCTCGTTGATTGGTACATTAATTGGCATTGTTCGAGTGAATTCTCAAGGCACAGACCATTCTACATTCAAAACTCATCCTGCAAATATGATGGTTTCCTTGATCGCCATATTAGTATTTTACTAGGCAGTACTGCTACTACACATGAAGAAGCGAATGCAACAAGGTAAGTACTCTGGAATCATGAAACATGCTATTCTCATCACAGTAGTTCTTTCTCCAGTCTCTATGGTGCCGATCTTCCTCCCAAACTAGCTCAATTACCTTATGTTAATTGCTTGGGCCTTGATTTTGGTAATAGTACTGGCACACAGCTTATTACCGAATGTCTGCAATTGGTTTTACCAGAAAACTATGAATGCATCTTCCATGTACTCAACATGTTGTCAGGGTTAATGGGACGCAGATTAATGGAGCAACAAGATTTATCCGTGTAATTCTCTATAGATACTACATTGCTCGCGGCAACCCTGTTATGAGAAATATTTTTTTTTTTCTTTTTTTTCTGGAAGGTCTGTTATAAGATTTTCTTGCTATTTGAATTGTGTTTTGCCAACAATGGCACTCTTACAAGATTTTCGTGCTTTAGTTGACGTAACTATGTTGTTATTGTTGTGGTGGTAGTGGTGATAGAAAATGTTGCTCCATCTAAAAGGAAGAAATAATTTGTTTTTAATAAATATGTGTTCATACAATACTTTATTATTTTTTTAAAAGTAATTCAAATCTGGAGTTAATAGAAATGCTTCTGTGAGTCAAATTATTGTAAATAATCAGTGCAATGTTTCCCTTAAAGCCCAATTTCCCAATTTCATGAGTTCAGAAATCCCTCTATAAATCTTCCAACTCCTTCCATCTCCAGACTCTTGAGTTTTCTTTTGCTCACAAGGTAAGTATGCTCGAAATTAGAGTAAGGTTTACCCTTCTGCTCTAATTACTTATTTTGCGGAAGCCCGAGTAGAGAGAGAGAGAGAGGGGTCATGTTTGAATTTAGTTTGAGAAAAAGAGAGGGGGAGAACATGTTTGAATTTAGTTAGAGAGAGAGAGAGGGTTCATGTTTAAATTGAGTTCCTTACCAATCTACATGTAAATTTGGGGGTAAGCAATTTTGTAACAGCCAGTAGAACCATTACAACAGCAACTAATAGCCAATGATATGCCATTTTATGTTCTAATTAATGCAAACAGAACCTATGAACTCAAACCTATCACCAAAAGGACAACATTCGGTGTTGACAAAAAAAAAAAAAAGGTCATCAAGTAGAACATACCTCCAAAATAACAACCCCAAGAGCAACCCATTTGACAATGTTCCAGTGCTCTTCAAGAAAATCATATATCATAGTAAAGACTCCAGTTTTGTCAGTTGGAATTTCCTGAAACATGCATATAGGCCATTGTTCTGACAACCAAATAACGATCTTGAAACTCAAAAACACCAGTTAAATAGCACTTACATCTATCCAGCTTTTGTCAAAAAATATGAAAGCTGCACACCCCAGTTCCGCCAAGATCAACAAGATAACCAATATGGAGTACTGTATTGACTTAAAGGAAACCAAAGATAAAGACGTATAAATAAATAAATAAAAAGCAAAAAGAGGATTGACACCCCCTCCCACAGATAACTGATGCAAATTTTTGCATGGCTCCATCCAAGAAAAAAATAAAAGAACTATATTAACCACAAGAGAAATACTGATGCAAAATTGCATGTTCAGAAATGTTATATCATAGCCCCAACAATATATAAACCACCACAATGTTGTCAACCATTAAATTTGTGCAACTGCAAATAATGACTTGTGAGCTATTGATTAAAGGAAACTTCATCTGTATCATGTTTATGGCCTAATCTTTACACTGCCCGTCCAAACTCCAAAAAAGGAGGATTGCGTCAAGACTATTATAAGCATGAATACTAACAATATACAATTAAATGCTAGGGTATTCCCCCTAAGCAACGCATTCCATCATGTTCCAGATGCTTCAAAAAATGGACAAGGGGCATCAGCACCTAGATAAAGGTAAAAAGCAGGCAAGATTCCTTCATTTTTCTTGACAAGCGTGGATAAAGAAGTTAGTCCAGCAAAGTATGCTTATTATGGAGAAGGAACGTTGACTGGTAAAGGAATTAAGTTGATAGACACTATGATAATTGATAAGGAGGAGGATTAATATAGTATGTATAGAAACTAAGTTGGTAGGAGAAGAAGCAAGGAAAATTGAGAATACCTATTATAAAACTTTATTACACGGGAAAAATAGGATAATATTAATAGAACTTGAATTGGGAGAATATAGTTAATATAATTAGCGTTTATACACCCCAAGTAGGACTAGATGAACACATTAAATCACAATTTTGGTAACAAACTGATTAATTAATTCAATGGATACCCGAAGGAGAAAACTTATACTTTGGAAGAGACTCTAATGGTCATGGAGAAAAAAAGATTGTGGAGGGTATAAGATGGTATACAGTGGACACCGATTTGAAGATAGAAATGAAGTAGAGGAGGCTCTCTTGGACTTTGTTGTGGGCCCGTGGCATATCATGTTATACTTGGGAACGCCTATTTTAAAAAGAGGGATGAACAATTAGTAACATTTAAAAGTGGAACAAATATGAGTCAAATCTACTTCTTTCTAACTAGAAAGGTGGATCAATAAACGGGCAAAGATTGTGAAGGTGTCTGAGAGGAGAATTTGACAACATAACACAGGCTATTAATTTTTTAGATGTATATATAAAAGGTCAGTCTAAAAGGAAAAATAAAATGTAATCCAAGAACTAGGTGGTGGAATTTAAGAGGGAGAAAGTATCATTTTTTAAGAATCGGATGCTAAAAGAAGTAACATAGAGCGTAAAAGATGGAAATAATGTGAAATTAGATAATTGAATGTATTAAAAGAATATCAAAAGCCCTTGGAAAATAAAAAAGATAGAAACCACTACCTAAAGAAACTTCGTGATGGAATGAATAGATCTAAAATATCGTAAAAATAAAACGGGAATGCTATAAAGTTTGGAAAACAAAACAAAAAACTAGATAACATTTGAAAAATACACATGTACCAATAAGAAAGTTATAAAAGTAGTGAGAGAAGTTAAGCATAGAGCTATGATGAGCTATATATATTCCTCAATGGGGAAAGAAAAAAAAGAGTTTAATATAGAGATGAGTTATGTTCTAAAGTAGGTACAAAAGATGGGGAGAAGCTAAACTAAAGGAGGGAAAAACTAGATTTTAACCATATTAAATGCATCAAGATGAAGTTTTTGACCATATTAAATGCATCGATAGTAACTCTAGGGATAACATATTCTTCCCTACGGTTAAAGAGTGTGAGGTTTTAAATGTCTTAAGGAGGATGAAATTAGGTAGAACTTTAGGACTAGATGACACCCCTTCGAGGTTTGGAAGTGTTTAGGGGTTGATGGCATCTCTTGGCTAACAAAATTGTTTAATAAGATAATAACTAAGAAAATGCTTGATAAGTGGCGCAAAAATATTTTATACATATAATAATAAAAATAAAAGCATACAAATTTGTACTAATTATCATGATAATAAATTATTGAGTCATGCAATAAAACTTTGGGAGAGTGATTGAACAACAACTGACACGGAAAACTGAAATGTCAAAAATCAGTTTGAAATTTGAATTCATACTAAGGAGGTCAACTATATAGGTTATTTACTCATTGAGGTGACTAATGGAAATATTATCTTTATATAGCCTTTTTGCTCAAAAATAAGTTTGAATTCATACTAAGGAGGTCAACTATATACGTTATTTACTTATTGAGGTGACTAATGGAAATATTATCTTTATATAGCTTTTTTGATCTAAAGAAAGCCATTGATAAATAGAGATTTAATAATGAAAGGTTTTAGAAAAGAAGGTATCACAAAGGAAAAATAGACACCAGAAAGGATACTTATAACGAACAAGTGAACTTTCAATTACTTTATATAGGCTTACATAAAGATTCGGCATAAGCCCAAATCTTTTAGTCTTAGTTATAAATTAACTGACAAGACGCATTAAGATGAGATTCCATAGTGTATGTCATTTATTGATGATATTATTTTAAATGTTGAAACTAAAGGAAATCTTAGAATTAAAAGGGTTTAAGATAAGTAGGAATAGAACTGAATATATGCGTAGTAATTTTAATAAGTATGAAAATACAAATATGAATGTAGTGAAGATTGAGGATCAAGGGGTACAAAAAGTTGAATATTTCTGTTATTTAGGCTCAGTTATTTGTATCGTAATGAAGGATAAATTGGAGATGTTAATTAAAGAATCAATAAATGATGGGTTAAATGGAGTACTGCATCTAGTATATTGTGTGTTTGATGTATATTGCTAGGGTTGAAAGGAAAATTCTACAAACAAGTTATCCATTCTTTGTGGGATAGAAATAACATATACATAAAGTAAGTGTAGCAGAAATATAAATATTGAAATGGAAGTGACAAGAAGGATATAATTAGAAATGAACACATTTATGAGATGGTTGAAGTAGCACCAATTGGAGATAAAATGGGAGAAAGTCAATTAAGATGGTTTAGACATATGCAACGAACTAGTGACGGTTAGGAAGAGCGACGACCCACATTGAGGGTAATGTTTGGAAAAGAGGAATATCAAAGTTAATGTGGAAGGATATGAAGACATCTGGTTTGATTGAAATTATAAACTTAGGTAGAGTGGAATTAAAAGAAAAAAGGACTTATGTAACCAATCCCAAGTAGCCGGAAAGAAGGCCTTGTTGAGTTGGCTTGAGCTATTGGTCAAAGGGTTAGCCGGGGACACTTAAATTGATACGGATCGATTGAAAACATGGGAATGAAATCAATGGTAGTAGGGATTCTTCCATTACCTGAAAAAATGATAGAATTTTGAAATCATGATGGCATGTCACAAGATATCAGCATGCACTTGCATTTTCAAACAAATGGGCAATGCAGGTCTCCCAAAAACATGGAAATGAAATCAATAGTGCTAGGGATTCTTCCATCACCTGAACAAAGGATAAAATTTTGAAACCATGAAGGCATGTCACAAGATATCAGAATGACACTAGCATTTTAAAATAAATGGGCAATGCAGGTCTCCCAAAACAAAGGAGTTACATCATGATTGTCCTCATAGGCTCATACTACTATGGAAATAAATTGCATGAGTATGTAGGATACACATGTGAGGCAGCATCCATTCCTTGTTGCTGCTCCAATACAACCAAAACAAGATATGACGAAGAGAACCACACCAATACCGATAAACAAATATATGAACCTACAAAAACAGCTAACAAATTAGCCAATATTGCAAGAATCTGCAGATCTGCAAATGGAAGTTTCATAACATCAGCTTGAGACAAAATCTTGCAGCTTCAAAGAATTTTCAAATAACTACAATTTATCAATCCATAAACATACATATATTTCAGGACATGTATATAAAAGATTGACATTGTCTAACAAATATGTGGCGACCTTGTGGGCGAGTGTGCGTGGGAGGGTGTGAGGCACTGGTAGGCTATGGGTGCACAATCTCACATCACCTAGGTAAGGTGAAGGTGAAGGTGAAGGTGAAGGTGAAGGTGAAGTGCAATATATGTAGGACTAGTAAACTCCAAATGGTATGAGGCCTTTTGGGGTAAAACTCGAGAACAAAACCATGTAGGCTTGGGCCCAAAGCGGACAATATCATATCATGTGGTGGAGTGGTTCGTTACAAATGATATCAAAGTCAGGTTGCCCAGGAAGTGTGGCCAACAAGGACGTTGGGCCCTAAAAGGGGTGATTGGGGCGACCTTGTGGGCGGTGCATTGGCAAGCTACGGGTGCACAATCCCATATCACCCGAGTAAGGTGAAGGTGAAGTGCTATGTGTGTAGGATTAGTAATCTCCAAATCATATAAGGCATTTTGGGATAAAAACCAAGAACAAACCCGTGCGGGCTCGGGCCCAAAGCGGACAATATCATACCATGTGATGGAGTGGTTCATTACAAACTAAGACCAAAGAAACTAACATGTTAGAAGCTTGGAGCTGTCGAGGATGTCATCCAGGATGCCAAGAGATTATAGTCCAATTCAAGTTTAAGGATTGGACGACTTGAAATACTCCAGATTGAAGTTGAACTTGTATTAAGGTTCAACCAAAACCACGATAGTCAAATCCAGAACTGCTATTGGCATCACTGGACTAGAGATAACCAAAAACATTAATTATGAAATAATTTCAGAGCTACTCATTTAAACTTGATATTTGTTGGCCCGGTGTAACCAAAACAGTCAACCAAGTTACCAAGAATCTCATAGCATAAATTAATTCTACCACTACGCACTTGAATCTAGATTTCATCAATATAACGTATCCCAGTAACACCACTTCTAGTTCAACTAAGAGCTTTGGGAATTTGGCATATGAAATGTCATTCTTTGTTGCAGAAGCATTTTTGCAGATATCTGGTTCCAAAGGAGAAGCACTTTTGGCCCAAGAATCAATTTGAGAAGCATTTTTTTTTTTTTTTTTTTTTTTGCTGCAGGGGAGGGTAGGGGTGGTGTTGTAAATTTGTAATGCAATAATATAACACCTATCCACCTTTCTGATTATGAAAAAGAAATAAATAAATAACCTGAATTGCCAATTTCACTCTAAACTAACCACAATCAAGGTCATTGACTGATGTAGGGGAAACATTAACAACTTCGGACACAGAAGTAATCTCAATTGACATAGAGAAACTAGGAATTAAGATTCTTCCCAGTCCTTGGCTTAGATTTCTATTTTTTTTTTTCGGTTCCACATAATTAGTAATTCGGGTTCATAATATTTGTTTCAATTGAATTGTTTTTGGTGGTAATTTGCTAAGGTGACCTACTTGCCTCATAGATTTTTGGATTCATGTTTTTACGGTGCGAGTTCTCTCAATGACTTCACACACATTAATTCCTATTCCATATCATATTAGAGAATTTACAGTCATTGCTGCGAACCTAACCTTCTTTTGGGGTGTCCCTATAGCCCTTTTCCTATAAATAGGATGAAGCCATGAGATGCTTACTGTTTCATAATTATTCAGAAATACTTTGGGTCAGACTTTCATGAAAATCTGTAGCCAAAATTCGATGCTATTCACACTGTTAAGTTTATTCATATGCTTTTTCTCCAAAGGTATCAATTACGTACACGTTACCTACCAATAATTGGAAAATCATCTAATATCAATTACATACACGTTATTTACCAATAATTGAATAATTATCCAAGGAATTTTGGATCATGTTCATAAACAATTTTGACAAATGTATGTTATTCACACTTATTTAAGGGGTTTTAATGATGTTTAGTCCAATTTTACAGATACTACATAGACATCACAGTGCCATTCAAGTGGATGGTCATATATAAACTTCAGGAATATTTTCATGAATTTTATCACCTGATTTTCCACTCTTAACACATTTTGAGGTTATCTTCATGATTTTCATGAATTATAATAGATCAGTCTAGATAGACATCTTGGTTATTCTTTTTCTTTTTTTTATAAGTAAGATTTTATTGAAAACGCTCAAAAGGGGAGCGGAACCCAAAGAAACACAAGGGCCTAATTGAAAACGCTCAAAAGGGGAGCGGAACCCAAAGAAACACAAGGGCCAAAAGGCGCCTCAAACCTTCAAAGAGGCCAAAAAAACAATAATCACCTCAATCGATCTATAATCTCTCCCTGAGACCCAACCAAAAAGAGTGGAAATAATAGAGAACTTAAGCATAAAAATAGGTTTCTCCTTTCCCTCAAAATATCTCCGATTTCTCTCAAGCCAAATGCACCACCAAATACAAAGAGGCGTAGCACCCCAGGCATCCTGCATGAGAACCCCAACAGAGACACCTTTCCAAGCCTCAATCAACCCTCTAGAGGAACAAGGCATAACCCAATAGACACCAAATAAACCAAGCATCAAATCCCACCAGTCTCTGGCTAAGCTGCAATGCAAAAGAAGGTGATCAATTATCTCCTCATCGCACAAGCACATATAACATCGATTGATCACCACCTGATTCCTCCTCCTCAAATTATCCTGTGTTAAAATCTTACCCAGGACGGAAGTCCAAGCAAAGAAAGCTACCTTAAGGGAAGCCTTAGAACGCCAAAGAGACTTCCAAGGGAAAGGACCTCCGGTGCCGACCGAAAGGCAACTAAAAAAGGACCTAACCTCAAAGCGGCCCTGAGAGTTAGGAACCCAAAACCAACAATCCGATTCCCCACCAGATAACCTGGTGATACAGAACCTCTAAAAAACGAGTAACCTCCTCAATCTTCCAGTCCTGAAAGTGCCTCCTAAACTGAACATCCCAAGTCAATCTCCCGTTATCAAGGTGATAACAGTCAACCACCATAGGCTGTCTGTGAGAAACAATCCTATAAAGCCGTGGAAAGGCGAGGGCGAAGGGAGTCTCCCCACACCAAAGATCCTCCCAAAATCTGATCCTCCTACCATTCTTGATCCGAAAATGAACATGCTTGCAAAAAACATCCCACCCCCTCCGAATGAAAGACCAAACCCCCACCCCCCTAGGACCACACACCTCAAGAAAGCACCACCCACCACTGCTCTCCCCAAACTTGCTCGCAATAACTCTCCTCCAAAGCCAATGCCTTTCAATCCCAAACCTCCAAAGCCATTTACCAAGGAGGGCCTTATTGAAAGGCAACAGCCTCCTAATCCCTAAGCCTCCACTCCGAATCAGACGGCACACAAGATCCCACCAAACCAGATGATACTTGAATTCCTGTCCTTCCCCACCAAAAGAAAGTTGCACTGCAATCTCTCAATTCTTACTCAATGATACAAGGCTGTATGTGTTAGAAAATAGATGGCAAATACTAAGTGATCATGTGCAAGTGTGCAACCAAATAAAATGAGAATGAAGAAAAAGTACAATCACAATGGCACAACCAAGAGCACAAGAATTTATGTGCTTCAACATTTAGTTTGCATTCATGAACAAACCAGTAACAAAAAGAGTTACTAAAAACTCGGTGATTCATGTCATTTATCACAATTGGGATATAGCTTTTAGAATTACTTGGTCACATTCTAGGCCAAATGCAGCACAAAGAACACAAATAAACTATCAAGCAATCTGAGCAGAAAATAATCAGCTCAATAACTCATGAAACAGAAAGGGAAAAAGAAAAAAAAGTTCACAGCAATAGATCAGAATACACCAAGATTTAGCAATAAAACGAAAACTGAAAAACAAACTTTAAGCAAACGGGGCTCCCATACCAAGCTTTTGGCAGGTTATCAAAAATGCTACTTGACATAGACACGGCGATCATCATAGGCCGACCAAGCTGCATCACATCATCACTAGTAGGCTCAATAGAAGTGCTACCACCAGAAGCTGCTCTTTTGTATTCAACAAACAAGTAGATCCCATAGCCCACCATGGCCAGACCCACAAGAGTCAACAAGAAGTTCAGAAGCTTCAATAGACACTCCAAAAAACCCCTACACGCCATCTTCTACAATTCCTTAAAATACTTCAGTAACAACTCTTACAAAGTCCGTTCTATTTCATCAAACTCCTCTGATTCCTTCAACATAAGCCCACATTTATTCCAATATCAATACCTTAAGCATGAAAGAGAAAAAATCAAATAGAAATTTTAAAATTAGAAGAAAAAAAAAAACATAAGAGACTTGAATCTCCTATTGAATAAATATATACATAAACATACATATTTAGATATGTCCATTGAGCTTAGCTCGTACAAAAAAGAAAAACAATTTTCGCAGAAAACCTCGGAAAGAACAAGAAAAAACATAGCTCAAGGAAAATTCATGTCACTTCGTCAATGGAATCTGATGGAATTCAATGGAAAACTATTCTAAGTTCTGACATAGTATACGCGTCCAAGGACAATGTTATGCATGTGAATTCCAGTGGAAATCTCGAATTCGGATTCTCGAGAAATTTTATATGAATCTAATTTTCAAGGTAATATGAAATTTGACCGAAATTTTTCAAAATAAGCAATTAAATGTGATGATGATCTTTAGCTAGATTGTTTTTCAGATGAATAGATAGATTTGTTAACGTTAAATATATGTATATATATATATATATGCATATAATTGAAGAACTTACGAGAACGAAAATAATTCCGATTCAGATTGCGAGCTGTCGAAGATCGAAACCACAAAGAGAAAGGAGGAGAGAGAGAGAGAGAGAGGAGAGGAGAGGAGAGGAGAGGAGACGAAGTGAAAGAGGAAAAGCTACTTTTTTTTTCCTAATTTACCTGTTATGGCCAGTTGGCTATTGCACGGGTCGACCCGTCATTTCCTTTTGCGTGCATGAAATGACATTATTGACCTTTGATGCATACCTATATAAAATAAAAAATGAAAAGCATAAATAGCGGATAAACTTTATAAGATGAGGTCATGTATACTACTTATAAATCTTTCTATATATAATTATTTTATGTTGGACAAAAGTGTAGGCCGAGTTCATCCGGCGGAACTTATAAAATAACTTTTAAAAAATTAATGAGTAAATTATTTTTATTAAGTTTTAATTTTTTTTAAATATTTTATAACAACCTAACACTGTGAAAAATATTTTACATTCAAACAAATAGAGCCATTCTAAGAGCATCTCCAGCGGTTAAAATATTTTGTATAAAATATACACTGTCACCTATGATGTGTAAATTTTTTTCATCTCCAGCAATCTGTTAAGATACATTGCTATATCACCAATATGTAAAAGAGTTGTGTATTTTACATAATATTTTTACATTACCAGATCAACATAAAAAATTAATCATATATTAAGTAGGTTTGTAATAGTTATGTAGGTCCTAGCATGATATATGGTTGATTGTCATTGGGAAATATATTTTTACACAAAAGATATAAAACAACCGTTAAAATTAAAATTAAATAATTCAAAATTTTGATATAAATTCATCATGACACATCAGATTTACACAAATATATATATATATATATATATATATATATATATATATAAAATGGTTGGAGATGTTCTTAATGAAAATGAATCCATAAATATTTTTTATACATATATTATTTTTTATTTTATAATTAGAGTGTTTGGGACTTTGTCACGACTAGTTTTTAAGAATTGTGCATGCATATATTATTTTGTTATGGGGATGTTTCTTTCTATATTTGACTTTTAAACAGTTAATATTTTTATAATAACTTTATTTCATTTTAATTTCGACCGTCTTTCTCCATCTCTCACGAGGGCAAAAAGAAATCTAAGGCGGTAATAAACAATAATAAGTACGGTGCCTACTAGAAACACGAGTACCCAAAATTAAAAAGGAATAATTTTTGGACGGCTGGAAAGTAATTCTCTGATTCGGTTCAGTGGGGTTTGTCTTCACCTTGAAATGTTCACTAAATTTAGCGGTACCTAAGGGTAACCCATTTGCTCCATTTTGAAGTAAGTGGAAGAAAATTAGTCACATGAATTAAAAATATTAAGTAACTAAATTTTCGTCATCCTTATATTTTATATAAAAAAATTTAAAATATTATATTATATATATATATATATATATAAATATATTTAAATATTGTATTCAAAATACGTCGTCTTCTACTTCATTTCTTTCTCTAAAAGCTTCATCAGCTATTATTAATGGACTCTCCAAAGATTCACAGCAACTTTTGAACTTCAAAACTTCACTTCAAAACCCAAACACACTCCAAAAACCCATGTAATTGTACGTCGTCTTCTTCTAAAATACGTAGTCTTCTTCCTTTCTCTCTCTAAAAGCTTCATCAACTTCCATTAATGGACTCTCCAAGGACTCACAGTAACTTTTGAATTTCAAAGCTTCACTTCGAAACCCAAACACACTCCAAAAACCCATGTAATTTTACTGAACTATTATGCAGAAACTCAATAATATCATCCATAGATCTAAACTTTGTTCATCTAGATCTCAATTTTGGGTCTGTTTTTTCTTATCTAATTGAAGAGCACAAACATGACTGGTTTGTACTATTTTTAGTATAATTTTGTTGGGATTTTACGTATAACATAAGCATGAAATATAGTTAGTAACTAAATTTTCACCACCCTTATATTTCATATATAAAACATTTAAATATTATATTTGTGGAGGGAAAAAACGCCCTCCAATAAAAAGCGCACACGTCACCACTACCCATATCTACATTCCAAGGACGTATAAGGCCCATCATGCTCAAGCCCAAGTTGAGGGTATTTACAGCCCAAGACCATTGTTATTTGTCCTCCAACTTCCATCAAGGCCGAATCAAGAAGTCATCAGCCCAGCTTATGAGTATTTAACATCCGGCCTGTTACTCAAGCCCAGCCGGATCAAAATATATTCGGCCCAAGAATGCACAAGTCCTACCATATGGAGGATTTACTGTAGAAGGAAAATTCTATAGGAAGTTCTGTACAAGGCAAGTTCTATGTATGGAAAATTCGACAATGGAAAAAACCCTATTAGCAAAGAATGGTTATATAGAAAGAATTGGAGGGCAAGCAACGCGAGTCCTACCATAATCTTGCAATCTTTTGTATATAAATAGAGGCTAAGACCTCCAATAAAAGATCAAGCAATTCTACGCTTCTCTACACACTGTTCTTATTTATTGTTATTGTTTTTGAGTGAGTTGTTTTATTTCTCTCAATCATTATTGGTTGGGCGAAATTTTGCACCTACACTTTGGCGCCTTCTGTGGGAAACGTATAGAAATATACTCCCACTTGTTCTTCAAATTAAATCCTTTAGTCGTGTCTGGAATGTCAAACGGAGAGTCAGCAATGAATCAACAGATAGAATTGATGCAAAAGATGCGAGAAGAGTTCTTGCACCAATTTGAGACACTCCGACAAGCAAACGATACAAGTGTCGCCCAGATAGCTGCGCTTCAGCAGCAGACTCATACGCTGCACGCGGCCATGGCCAGGCTAACGCCACAACCACCACCAGGTGATGCTGCGGCACCACCCCCCACCCGGAATTTACCTCCGGTTCACGAGCATCCAGCCAACGAGACACCACCCAACGGGGCTCGACCTAGTGAGGTTCAGCAAAAGTAAGGGACGAGGTCCGAGGCGGTTGCTTCGGATAATCTCCCGCATCGCACACAGGACGAACAGGCCGAGTCCAGCCATAGGCTTACGGTATGGTCCAATGGCGTTCCAGATGGCGCACGTGTACAAGATGCCTTCGACGAAAAGAAGCTCTTGAGAGTCCAGACACCAGCCGAGATGGCTAGAGAGCACAAGAACTCCTTGGTCAAGACCCCCTTTACTGACGAGGTGTACCTTGTAGAGAGGCCGAAGAAGTTCACTATGCCATCCTTCACCCAGTTCGATGGGGCAGGAGACCCCTCTCGGCATCTCGATCATTATGCGCAAAAGATGGCACTGGACGATCATAACGATCCGTGGATGTGCAAGGTTTTTCCTACCAGTTTAACCGGAGCAGCGTTAGAATGGTTCAGGAATAGGCCACACAAGTCTATCCCTGACTATGAGACCTTGTGCACTATGTTCTTAGCCCAGTATTGCGGAAATAAGAAGCAGAAGAAAAGTATCGCCAGCCTTTTCACCATAAGGCAAAGGAAGGGAGAAACTTTACAAGATTTTTTATCCAGGTTTAACATGGAGGCCTCAGAGATAGCAGATTGCCATCCTACCACGACAATCGAAACATTTAAGTTGGCAATGATCCAGGGAACCAAGTTTCACACATCCTTGGTCAAATATTCCCCCCCGGATATGCAGACTTTGAACGCTAGGGCACAAATCTACATTCGATTGGAGGAAAACGTAACTCACCGTGCACAGCACGCTACCCTTGTCACAGTGGAGAACAAGTCTCGAGAGAAAGCTGCGAGCACAAGGATGCAGAAGGTTCCTCATACCGCCACACAAGTCACCCAAGCGTCTGAGAAAAGGCGAAGGACAGAGGACAGGCTTACCCCTCTTCGTACTACCTTGGCGCGCTTATTCCAAGAAAATAAGACGAGGTTCGTGACTCCTCAGCCCATGAAACAACCCTTGGAGCAGAGGGACAAAAGCAAACATTTTGCCTACCATAGAGATTATGGGCATACCACCAGTGACTGCAGGTCCTTACAGCGACAGGTAGAAAACATGATAGCGAGAGGAGAATTGGTGGAGTATCTCGCCACGAAGGAACACGTAAAACCTCGGGAGGTTAACCCTCGACGGATAGAGGGCGGTCAGGTGAAGGTTATCCATGCTATACACGGAAGGTCAGAGGATGATGAAGAGTCTGAAGAGTTGTACAGATCTAGGCTGAGAGAGGCTCATAAGTTACGAAGATTGTCTTCGGTAAACACGGTTGCACCAGGCAGCATCAATATTGGATTCGGTAACAATGATCTTTCTAGAGTCCAGCACCCGCATGAGGACCCCTTGGTCATCAGCCTCCTGGTAGCGAATTACATGATCAGGAGAGTGCTGATAGATCCGGGAAGTAGCGCCAACATCATTACAAAAACAGCTTTTGATCAGTTGGGAGTTTCACCATCGTCCATCAGGCCAACTTCCGGCCCCCTAATGGGATTTGACGGTACTAAGGTGAATCCGCTTGGGGTGATCGATCTATCCGTTACTGCAGCAAAAAGAACTCTGAAGGAAAACTTCGTCGTGACAGAGATTCATCCATCTTATAACCTCATTATAGGGAGAGGTTGGATCCATCGTATAAACGGAGTCCCCTCTACACATCATTAAGTAATGAGGTGTTTATCCTCGGATGGCAGGGAGGTAATCGACCTCTGGGGAGACCAGGTTGCTGCCAAAGAATGTTACATGCTAACGTTACACGAAGCAAAGAAAGCATCGAAATCACCTCAGTCAGAGGCGAATCCCAAAGACGCAATCAAATAGCAGTTACAGTATCCTCTGCCCAAGTATCTCAAGGCAGAGGAAGAAGCCGAAGCTAAAGCACCTACCGAGGAGTCCCTCGAAGCTATAGAGGTAGTCCTCGGAGACCCTCAGAAGATCACCTACATTGGCTCATCTTGTACAGCCGAAGAGAAGGAAGCATTGATCAGGGTCATTCAGTGCAATTCGGATGTCTTTGCCTGGGATCACTCGGACATGGCGGGGATCAATCCTACAGTCTCATGCCATAGTCTGAGGGTTAACCCAGAGTTCAAGCCAGTCAAGCAGAGGCACTGACGGTTCGCACCTGAACGGAATCGCATAATAGCCGAGGAAGTAAATAAACTA